AAATACACGCTGAATTTATTATGAGAATTTTGCAAAGTCTGCACAAACACGTCCGCAGTTGAAAACCATTACAGCTGTTCATAATGCATCAAGGGATCATGAAATAAACTGTATCTAATCTGCAGTGGAAATGTGAACAGCATGATTATTCCATTTAAGATCAATTTACTACGTTCTTTTAGATATCACAATAATACTTACTGACTTACTAAAGGTTAGTGGCCAATCTCCCAAAAATAACATATTAAACAAACAAAGAACTTTTTTGAGGTCAAAGTTCAGAGAATGTAACATTTTGACTATACATGTACATTATCAAGTAACACTTAAATATTATTGCCAACAGTGAGTGATACTTTGGTTAAAAAATAACATGGTATTTGGGTATATCATGAGTTTTAATTTATCTCAACTTTTATTTCAGTTGTTCAGCATATTTATTTATTCAGACACGTCATTATCATATCAGGTTTTTTTCTCCACTAAGAATTATTTTTTTAAAGAGAAATTGTTTGAAAAAAAAAAAAAAAACAGTACAGAAAAAACATATTTTTGGAACACTTTGCATAGGAGTCCATGAAAATGTATTATTTCATTAAAATAAATAGTATTAATCAGTATTCCCTAATAAATAGGGACAACTATAAGTATCTCTAGAAACAAATTGTAAATAACCCTAAAATCACCATTTTTGTGCAAAAACTAGTTTGGTGAGCATACACATTTATCTCTATTGCAAAATTCAGGAAAACTAATATTTTGTTTTTTTGCTAGCCAACTGTACCTTAAAGTTATATTAGTATCATCTCAAATTAGTATCATACAAATGTATCTATATATTTCTCCATTTTTTTATGGTAGAAGACAATTGTTTCCCACCCTGTGTGAATGGTGGAATCTGTTTCAATAACAACTGCTTGTGTGGTAATGATTTCAGTGGTTTCGATTGCTCAGTTGGTAGGTATACCTAAATTACCTTCTAATTTAGTAAATTAGTAAATAAGTAAATATTAGCCCATCAAACTTAAACTAGATTGTCTCGAATTGATCAATGAACATTTGTATGTATATTCTGTAATGTGCATGGTTAGGCCAAAATAAACAAATTGTTGATTCTCGCCATCTCGTATGTTGGTTTTCTACTTTGCATAAACATGAATTGCGCCACCTATGAAAGGATGAGGAAATGTTTATTTTCTGCTTCAGAGGATGCAAATCAACTTTTAATACATGTATTCACAATATATGCATTGAACATTAACTTGGATTGTCAAAAAATCCTTTGAAACAAACAATACAAATATTTCCTCATTTTACACTATGTGGCACACTTTCCACAACAAAATATGAGGTGCAGGTTTCAAACTGAAGTGCATGATAACAGGAAACAAAACATTTTTTTTTACCTTAAATTCACTATGTTCAATTACATGTACCCACCATAGACTCTGGTCAGTCAAAATGACTATTTTGAACTGTAGGCATTAATCAGCAATTCTGCCAATGACGGAGAGAGAAATCTAGGTCAGGGGAAGCCCCATGACCTCATAGATTTTCTTCCACGTCACAAACCACGTGGCCGAGGCAAGTCGGGTGACGCCATCTTGCCTTATGATCACTTCTGGCCTTTTCTTCGTAAATGAGGACTAAGCCAATCGCTACAGAAAAGTGGGGTGGTCGGGAGAGACCTAGAGTCTATGGTGGGTATGAACTATATGAATAGGCGGGTTGACAATCGTCTTCCTAAATTCACTACGTTCAGTTACCCACTATAGACTACGATCATTTTTTTCTCCAAATCGAGTGGGCATCATAGCAAAAACACTGCGTTTCAGTCTCCAGTTTTTCAAATGAGTATTCTGAAGAAGCTGTGAACCTTAGGTAACAGTAGACGTAGTGGCTGGTAGGATAAGTTTTTTCTATTTTTGTGGCCCATATCAGTTGACCCAACTGTAAATTCGTTTCACTCATGCATGCCTTGTTCATTTTACTAGTGTGGTTTTCAAAATGGACAGGAAGAAAGGGAGCAGTCCATAGGTTGTTCCCCAAGAACGGATTCGGTCGTGCTACAATTGCCTTCAGAGCTCCCGGGTTGGTACCCCCATAGCAAACGTCATCTGGGATTCAGAGGTCTGGGTCTTTATTTCAGGAACGTGTGCATGTTGTCGAGACTGATCGCGTTGAATGCACATTCAGTTTGAGCTAAAGTCCTCCCTTTTGTCTACCGGTACCTTGGTACTGTGTCGACAAGTGGGAGGTCCGACAGCAGTGGATCCGTGGTTTCTTGACCTCCCCCCGCTGATTGGTTGACATCCTCGCAGTCTGCTAATGCAGATGTAGGTTTGCCAGATCGTGCGGGCAACAACGAGGCTGTGCCCTGGAGCTTGTTGCTTCTATGGGGCCTGTTGCGGTTCCCTTTGTTGATTCCTCCTCACAACATGTTTCAGGCATTGGTTGAAGGCCTGCTGGGACAAATTGCGTCGCTTGCAGATCCGGTAGATCAAATGCAGGTTGCCTCCACTGCAGTTGCCTTTTGTTCGGCAAGCAAGAAGATTCACGATATTTGCGTTCTTGGGATGCTTCTTCCTGGTATCCCCCCGATCCCAGTGGTCAGGCCTCCAATTTCGGAGGGTACCAAGCAGGGCAGGACATTGGTTTTTTATCCACTGCACTCTGCTGACACTCCCAGAGAGAACTGGCCTGGCCATCAGAGGTGTCTCGGACACGCCCTTGCTCACTTTTTTTGAAAAGTGAAGTGGGGTTAGGCGATATCTGATTTGGCAGGAGCAATCTTGGGTGGCCCCTCAGAGTCTGTTCTTCGTAACGACTCTGTGATCCACGCTGTGGGGGTGATGTAGGGAACATAGATCCTAGTGATCCGATCTTCTACCCCCCACCCTCAATTCTGAAGAAGTCACTCTCGGTAGTGCTGTCACTTCCGGGATCCAGACAGTGTGATACAAAGCAACACCGACTACATGACTCTCCTGGTCCGGTCCAGTGCTGGACTCAGTGGGAACGTACAGACGGTGTTGGTCCCCTGCGGAATAGAGGCCTATGTCTTTGGGTGGGGCAATTTTTCCACTGGACTAAGTGCTACCCTTTTGATGTGGTGTTTGATACTGGAGCCAGCTGAGTCTGGAGCCGACCCCGGTACCACTATTTTTAGTTCGGTGGGACGGGCAAAGGGGGATGGCCACGTTCATGTAATCTTTCAGCAGTTCAGTTGGAAACAATCCACGCCCTGAGATCCAGCACTGTGAAGTCTTAAAGACGAAGTCTTAACCAGCAGACACAGTTGTTGGTGGGACACCACCAGGTTAAGCGGGATATTCCGCAGTGTCACCTGGCTCTTTTGGCAGGGGCTGCCTCTGTACAGCGGGATGCTGTTTTGGCTGTTTTCACCGACGAACTGAGTCACATGGTGCGTCACCCCAAGGAAAGGACCCCAAGCTGAAAAAACATAAGACCAAAGCCAGCACCCACTGGCCAGAAGTAGCCAGGAGGCAAGCGTCCCGGCTCTTCGAAGGGAGGGAAGTGTGGCGGCACTCCACCCAGAAAGGTGGTCGCCCACCCAACTCGCAGGGGAAGCAAGTTTGACGTTTTCGCCTGACAAGGGAGATGGGAATTTGTACGCCGGGAGTCTGAACCTATCAACTCCTACAGGCATTGCAGGGTCTCAACTCGGCGGAGGGGAGATCACTCCTGAAGTAGAACCGCCAAATCCACATATCTCTGTAGCACACAGATTGCACATAGCCGACCCCTGGACTTTCAAGGTGGTGATACACAGTTACAAGATCCCGCTGCGATTTCCACCTCCTCTGTCAACAGCCCTCCCATTGGGGGTGCTGCCAGGGGATTCCCGCAAAGCAGAAGCAATCCGACAGAGTTTGCTTACAAAGGGCGCTATATACAGGATAGAGGACCCGGCCATAAGTCCGGACTTCTACCCGCAAGTGTTGGTGGTTCCAAATACTACAGGTGGCTGCGTCCAGTTCTGGACTTAATCAGACTAAATCAGTATGTGCTTCCTGAAACACCGAGCATCGTTTTACTCTCTGTGCTTTTTTTCTACTGGTTAGCCTCGCTAGACTTGAGCGATGCTTACTGGCACATACCGATGCACCCTGCAGGTCAGCAACTTCTTCGATTCACCCATTTGGGCCAAAAAGTTTAGTATGTGGTGCTGAAACAGGTTGTGCTGCACTGGGCATTGGTACACATCAATCCGTACCTAGATGACTGGTTGCTACACAACCAAAACAAGGGGCTGTTAGCAAGCAAGTAAGGCTAACACAGGATTTACTACACCAGTTGGGCTTCCTAGTAAATCAAGAAAAGACCCATCCACACCCAACACAGCGTTTGGGTTTCTGGGCATGGAGTTCGACACGGAGGCGGGCTTGGTACGATCATCAGAGGTTCGTTGCCTAGCACTAAGCGGCCTAGCCGATTGTCTAGTCAAAGTTCCCTCTGTGTCTCTCCAAGAACTGATGCGTAACATTGGAATGATGACCTCAGTTTGCAGGGTTTCCCAAGCCGTGTTTATAGGCAGCCCCCTGGTACAGTTCACTTTGTTGCAGCACCGTCTCACCTAACTCTCTCGGACCAAGCGAGTGATGCCTTGCCATGGTGGAAAACAATTTCCAACCTCAGGCAGGGGGCTTGCAACAGTTATGACTCTGATAACAGATGCCTCCTTCACAGGTTGGGGAGTGCATCTATTGGGTGAACAAGCCCAAGGAATGTGGCCCCTGCATATCAATTGGGGATAGCCTCCAGACTGTTTCGGCAGTGGCACTGTCCAAGGTTAGACCTATTCACCACACCCCGGAATGCCAAGCTCCTGACGTATGTGACACTCCTGCTAACTCCAAGAGCCTGGGCCAGCGACACTTTGTCCATCCTGTAGGTCCACATGGACGTGTACGCCTTTCTTTCCTTCCCGCTATTCACTGGATACTGGAGAAACTTTGACGCCTGGCTTCCACTACTGTTGGAAATGGTAGTCGAAACACCAGTTTCCTGAGCACTGCTGATGAGCCCAGCAGTGTACCACGTACAAGCATTAAGGCTCTCAGTTAACTCGCTCAGGTTTATCTGAGCGAGCTGCCAACGTCCTGGCCAGGGCAAATATGGATACCACCAGCACAGCCAACGTCCCAAAATGGCGGGCGTACGTGGATGGCTGTAGTGGAAGGGAAATTGATCCATACCATCCCTCTGTTGGCCAGGTACCTGTAGCTGATCGTTTCGTCCATTTATCTGATGAGTTGATAGCCTTGTCACCAATCCAGTGATTGCTGGCTATAGGCCAGCCTTGTCACCCATCCTCAAGAATTCTTTGGGAACAAGACTAGCCTATTGTCCTATTATTATGAGACTGTTTAGTGCTTTCCATCAGAAGCCTAGACCTCAAACAAGGGAACTGCCCAATTGGGATTTTTGGTTGTATTGTCAGCTTTAAGCAGACCACCCTTGGATCCTCTGGGATCAGCACCACTGTAATATTTGATGTGGAAAACAGTCTTCCTTCTAGCTCTTGCCTCTGGTAGGCGTTGTTCTGAGCAGGGCCTTGTCCTTCTTGGATGGTTGTGCTGCCATTATGGACAATCAAGCTTTGCTGTGCAAGGCACAAATCAGGTTTCTCAACAAGTACCAAATCCCAGGACACGATCCTTAGCCAATCGTCATCCTGCGTCTGGCCAACATTGTCGGCTCGAGGATCAAGAGAAGTTGCTTCTTGGCCCAGTTCGAGTGTTGAGTTACTACAAGAACCGTACTAGGGAGTCAAGGCATGGCAGCAAGCACATGTGTTATGGCCAGGGTAAGCAGGACAGACAGCCTCCCCGACTTCCATTTCCAGGTGGATCACTGCGACAGTGTGTAAGGTTTATGACCATCTGGCATCTTTGACACAGTGTCTACAGAGACACCAAGTACAAGCGCATGAGGTTTGTGCGATCACTAACTCATTCGCTCTTGCATAAAGTGCTCCCTGCCTTAAAGTGGGTCCCGTCGTAGTGGGTCAGACTTTGGTTTCTGACCCAGCCCGGACGACTGCAGGGATCCCTGCACATAGGCGATAGAGTAGTCTCTGCTACAGATTTGTGCAGAGAAGTTTCTTTCATCAGCACTCCTTGGACGTGTCTAGGTCTCGCTTTCGGCCTATGCCCTCATGCAGAACTGTTTCGGCCCCTTTTTCGTTGGAATGCTAGTCACCGAAGAATCTGGGTCCAGGTCTAGCGTCCTTGGGCATGCCGCCCCTGTCACCTACCCAGCAGTTGCTTTGTTATGGGGACGACATTGGCAAGGTAAGATTCCGTTGGTCATTGGTCTTAACTAGGTGGTAGTCATAAGTAGGGAATATTGTCCTGGGCTCTGACACCCTTTATTAGTCCCCGTTTTAGGCGCAGGGAGTATAGTTTCTTATTTCCGGTTTCTGTCTGTGACGTCTCTAACATTTTCTCGGAAATTTTGTAGTAGTAGTAGATATCGATGAAACTTGGCAGGTTGATGAATAAGTCTTTGCCGTATATGCACATAATTTTTTTTTCCAGATCTAAAAATCCTAAGTGAGTCTTTTTCATGATTTTCATCAAAAATTACCTCTCCCAACAACCACTGAGAGAACAACTGAGCATGCTCAGAATAAATAATTAGCTTAGATTGTAATGCTAGGGTTTTCAGTGATGTCACGACCTGGTCACGACCTGGTCATGACCTTGATCTGAATCAGTGACAGATGGGTTGTACCATTACCAATCTCTTTGGATACTGTAGAGGGGTGTCAGGGCTACATTTTGAGGGGAATTATAGTGATGATACTGAAACAAGTCCTGGTAATATACAAAGACCTTAATTAACAAAGGAGTCAAGTTGTTATTAAAGGTACATCAAGGTTTACTCAAATTTATGAATGCAGTTTCTTGAGCATGTATGTATGAGACATAGTTTTGTTGCACTTGTGTACTCTGAGATTTTCGAACTCGGGTCAATGGACGTTTTCAGTTATCAGTACAATAGATTAAGGGAAATCACTTTATGATGAGCTGTACCCACATAGAGTACATATTAATTCAACTGTTTGCAGATGTTCCATGTATTATTTTAACATGAGTATTTTATAATTATATGACAGGGACTGTGACATTCATGTCTTGTTGTTTCTGTTTTTGCTCAGAAACGCACCATCTCTCTGCGTCTGACTGACCGGAGTCTATGGTGGGTAATTAAACATAGTGAATTTAGACAGAGGGTTTTCAACCCGCCTATTCACATAGTTCATACCCACCATAGACTCAAGGTCCCTCCCAACCACCCCACTTTTCTGTAGCGATTGGCTTAGTTCTTGTTTGAAGAGAATAAAAAAGAAGTGATCATGATGGCGTCGCATGCCTTGCCTCGGTTACATGGTTCATGATGTGGAAGAAAATCTATGAGGTCATGGGGCTTCCCCGACCTAGATTTCTCTCCTTCGTTGCCTGAATCGCAGATTAATGCTTACAATACAAAATTGTCATTTTGACTGACCGGAGTCTATGGTGGGTATGAACTATTTGAATAGGTGAGTTGAAAACCCTCTGCCTAATTTAATGATACGTGTTTTGAAAGATGATTAATTATAATAATGTTTTTTCCTTGCTTTTAGTTGATAATCCTGTGTGTATTCCTGAGTGCTTAAATGACGGAATATGCATTAATGGAGTATGTGCATGTCCTGGAGGATTCACAGGAATAAATTGTGGGGACACTGGTAAGTGTGTGCATAATCTGGTTTGTGCATAATCTGACTGTAGTGGGTGGGGTGGGTGTTCACAGGAATAGATTATGGGGACAATGGTAAGTGTGTGTATATTTTGGCTGGAGTACGTGGGAGTGGGATGGGGTTGGTGGTCACATGAATAGATGTGGGAACGCTGAAAGTGTGTGCATTTGCTGGCTGAAGTGAGTTGGGTGGGGTTGGTGTTTACAGGAATAGATTGTTGGGGCTCTGGTAAGTGTGTGCATTTCCTGGCTTGAGTGAGGTGGGTTTCGTTTTCACAGAAATAGATTATGGGGGCACTGGTAAGTGTGTGTATTTTTTGGCTGGAGTGTTCTATGTTCGCCAATATTATATAGAAGACAGGATGGCTTGATTGTGATTAACTAACCTGGACAGTATTTATTTCATGTAGGCAGCCATGATGAGAAGAACAATGCATCATGGGTATATTTGTAGACTAGCCTATTGGAGGCGCTGTATACATAATAAGGCCAGGATATAACATCCCTTCTTGTTTTAAGCAAAAGTATCATTCAAATAGTTCTTACAATGTATCGAAGATATCTCTGAAGAATGTTAATATCAATGGTATTTGAAAATAATGAAAAGTTCAACTCGATGATATGGCAATATATGTCCTTAATATGGTTGAATTGGACTTAGTAATCACAATTTTAACAATGAATTCAATGAACTTGAATAAGTAACTAATTAATATTAACACTCAAGTGAAACTGTAAAAGTTAACAAGGTTTAGTTCGAAGATTATTTAGAAACAAAGTCTTTGAATCGTGATGGCATCTGTATATTACTCCTAGATCTTGTTGATTTAGATGGTTTCCTATTAGGCATTGACTGTTGAGTGGTTTTATCTGCAAGCGATGCTTGTTTACAGTCTAATGGTGTTGATATTTGTTTCTTAGGCGCCAGGTTAACATTTGACTGCTGTGGGCGTATGTGGACTCTGTTACTGCGAAACTGGCTTCCCGTCTCTGTCTCTACCTCATATGACCTTAGTGTGTTAGCTGTGTTTATTATCTTTGCTGGAGACCATGTCTTATTGATGGGACTCTGGACATGAACTTGTTGCCCGACGAACAGCTCAGGCAGTTGT